CCTTGTAATTGCAAACTAACCATATTAAATTTTGTAAACAAATCTGTTAAATAGCCGATGTCTGTATTCCTTTTCATTAAATTTTCTTTTAAAATTTTATCTTTAGTATCCAGAAATTCTAAAATTGTCACAAAAAGTGCAAAAAATCTTGTCAAACATAAGCCTTTCGACAGCCTGCGTACTTCAGTGTGAAGGAGTAATTGATGAAAGTGTTCGTCATTTTCTTCATACAACTGCGCAAATAACCGCGTATTCAACGCGTTGCTTCGGATTCGGTTTACTGCATCAATGACTAAATGAAGTGATTCATGCAATCTAACACTCAAATTTTTAGCAACTAGATGTTGTCGATGGATGACGCAATGTATTGCTAACACCCATGACACATTTTGTTTTAAATAGCTTATAAATCCACGATAACGTCCAACCATGGCAGGTGCTCCATCTGTAGCTACTGATATTATATTTGATAAAGGAATTGCTTTTTCAATGAAGTGATCCTTCAAAACATGAAATATTGATTCACCTTTAGTGTCGGTTATCAAAGTTCTTGCGAAGAGCAGTTCTTCGTCGATTTCTTGATTCGTAATAAAACGAACATATGTCAATAATAATGCTGCATCATCAGGTAAAGTTGACTCGTCCAGTTGTATAGAGAAATGGGTCGTTTGCAAATAATTACATAAGAAGCTTTCAATATCAGAACTCATTTCATCAATACGTATTTCAACAGTATTGTTGCTTAAGGGAATTATTTTAATGATATCAGATGCAGGTTTGTGTAAAACAGTTTTTAAAACCTCTTCAACGGCTGGCAAAATTAACTTCTTTCCCATAGTATGCGGTTTTCCGGATTTTGCTATAAGTAACGAGACATTGTAAGACGCCCGCAAACCATCATCATTTCTTTGGGACGTCGAAGCGAACATTCTGTCCAGTGTAGGTCTCTTCTGAAATTTACCTTTGAGTGTTTGAAAGTATTTCAAATCTTTCTCTGTTTTATCAGGGTGGCATCTTCTCAGACGATCTTGCAGTTTAGACGGTTTCATAGCGTCATTGCCCAAAACTTTGTTGCATAAAAGGCACATAGGCGATTGTTTGTCCGGCAATGATGGAATGAAGCCAAATTTCAAATAATCAACACTGTACTGTCTACATTTCTTTTTAGATTCGGACATGGCATCAGTCATCTGTGGGCAAAATTAAATTATTTAGATAAGACAGGAAATCCAGCAACTGTATATTAAAAATATTTTTTGATTATTCCGAAAATATTCCATAATTCGAACATCTTCTTGCAACAATTAGCTCGAATTACCGAGATTGCACTGTAATTATATTACCGATTGCTAAAACTTTCAAAAAGAAATTATTGAGGAGTACTCGTGTAATTTTGCATGATTGAATATTTAGCAACTAATAACTAAAGTCATGATTGGCGTAATTTATCTATCTTTGCTAACAACGAGTACAAAACTAAAATTTAATAAAAAATAATGTACTCACTTTTCTCCAGCACTCTCAAACAAAATAACGCTGACTCACTATAATTTGTGTGATATACTTACTGTTTATATTTTTCAAAATATTTTCTTAGCACTTTCCTTTTCAAGATTCAGGAAACGAATAAACGTATTTGTGCCACATTCGTATTTATAGAGTGACGAATTGAACAAGTCAGTGCAAGGTAGCGAAGCTCTGAGACTGCGACTCTCAGGTTTTTACAAGTTCAAAATGTATTGCGACGACAAAGCGAATATCAACATCCTACAACTTACACAATTTTATAAACATATATAATACATTTTCTACTTCATAGGTACTTTTATAAATAATTTATATGTTTTGATATTATAAGATAGTATGATATAAGTAAATAGGTACAATCAGTGTATGTGTTGAGATCCACTATCGTGGACACCCATATTCATTTCACGGACCTCCAAATTTTTTTTCGCTGACGTAGACCCCTTGCAGGTTGTCACAGACCCCTAGGGGTCGATATAGACCACTTTGGGAATCAATGGTCTAGATGTTCGTATACAGTGCTTTCCAAAAAGGTCTCGCTTCTTACTTATTTTGTGAACGAGTCAAGTAAGTTAGTTGACAATCGGCAGGGGTATTACGTAACAACCTAAAAAACGCCGACAAAAAAAAACAACGAAATGTCATCTTGAAGACTAGGTAGTTTTTAGGGTGCAAATAGTTCATTCCACGTTTTCTCGCTATGATCGCTGTTCGCTGACATTCAAGCATCACGTACAGCTACGAAACGAGTGCACAACAAGTGCCCATCAGCTAGTGCCAAGTTAACATCTTGTCGAAAAACCTACATTATGTCATAAAAAACCTACTAAATGTACAAAAAACTGACGAAATGTCACTTTTTAAGATACGTAATACCCGCATTAGTTGTGCAACAAAATATGAGACATTATTTAGTGTTTGAAAACGTCACACTATTTGATAATAATATGAATGGAATGTCCTATATTTTACTAATTTGGTATAGGCCCTTGCAACAGAAGGACACTAAGTTTTGATGATCTGCCTGTGCGCCATTTTTCATTTCAGGATTTTAAAGTATCCGTAAAGGGCTTCAATGTTTAGGCATCGCAAGACATCTATTCCAGTAAAAAAATATTCCAAAATAGCTCCCAGCGATCTAGAAATTTCCAACTGATACTTTGTAATAGTCATGCATCAATTTCTTCAATCCGAAATGCAGCTTGCCAGCTTGACCTGATCGTAAAATGCGGAGGACCTTTTTGCAAAGTACAGTATGCACTATAAATTCACTTAAAAAATGGACGCAGGAGAGTGCATGTTGCTGCATGTTGAGACATGTCCATGAGTACATAGTAGCCGCCAGCAGCACATCTGTTGATTTACTTGTTCATTTGTATTGGCAGTGTAAAGTGCTGACTATGTATAATAATAGTAGTATTTATTTACTTTAAAATACATGGAACATGAAACGAGCAAATAAATATAATTTATCCATAGAAGGACAGTGCCTGTGTATGGATCATATGTATGTTGAATTTCAAAAAATAAAAAAGGAATGGTGAGAAAAAACATAATTATTTGTAAGAATATCATTTACTATGTAATATTTGGGATTATTCTATTAATGTTACTTCTCCGAATAGTGTTGATACATTTTTTTTAATTTTATTTTGAAACTTGATGTATTCCGTAATTTTTTTAAATTATTTGGTAAATGTTCATACAATTTTGGAGCTAAGTACATGTGAGATCGTTTAATTAAAGATTTGTTTGGTTTAGGAACATTTTTTTTGCGTGTAATTTATATCTAGTGTTATGATTATGTTTGATTATGTCGGGTTCACTAATAATTTTGTGATAATGAGTAATGGTATGTAAGAAGTAAAATTGGGTATAATTTTGATTTGCCAAACATTGTTTTTAAAATTGTTCTTTGACGCACATCTAAATCGTTAAGGTACATCGTGCATGCAGCACCCCATACTACTATACCATATGGTATGAGCGGCTCGACTAAAGATTGATATATTATTCGTAGATAATATTCAGTTAATATATCAGTTGGAAATTTTTTTTATATGCTATGAATCTAATTTTCTTTAGTATTTAAGAAATATGTACATCCCATCTCAAGTGGGGATCTACAAAAATTCCTAAATATTTTGTATCATTAACTTTATTTATTCTTAGATTTTTTTCATTTACCTTAAAGATAACTTGGTAGATGGTTAGATAGTGATTAAAATGGTTAAAAATGAGTTTTAGTAAAGTTAGTTGTTAATTTTCGGCTATTAAACCACTGAATAATTTTACATAAGTAATTTTGGATAACATCTTTTAAGTCGTTCCAATCCTTACCTGAAGAAGAATCATGGTCCCCATCGTACGACAATATTCAGGTGGTACAGAGAATTCCAAAGGGCAATTTCACACTGGAGGACTCTGAGAGAGAAGAAAGGCCGTGAACGTCAGTAGCAGAAGAAAACATTACTGCTGTGAGGAAAATGTCTGACGATGACTGGAGAGTGAAATACCAATAGATAAAGTAGACCTTACACTTTCATGTATCAGCAATTTATTCAATTTTGCATGACCATTTACGCGTAAGGAAACTTTGTTCTCTCTGGGCACTGAATAGTCTGACGGAAGAGCAGAAGATTCGTCGTACGACTTGGTGTCGAAAGATCCTGAAAATGTTTGATTAGGGGCAATCTCGGTATGTGAGTAGCATCGCTACAGATGACGAGACCTGGCTGTATCATTACGATAAGCTGACCAAGGCTCAAAACAAGGTTTGGGCCTTTGATTATGAGAACACACACGTAGCTGTCAGAAAATTCCGATCTGTTAAGAAAAAAGTGATAGCTATATTTTTCAAATTGAGCGGGATTGTGGAGCGTCAACAAACAGAAGACAGTCACAGCTAACTGGTATACGGAACAGTGCCTGCCTATAAAAAACCTGCGGCCAAAGTTAAGAATGGACACTTGGTACCTTCACCATGACAGCGCTCCAGGTCACTGCGCCAAAGCTTGCACCGAGTATTTGCCATTACTGGACTGAAACTTATTGAGCACCCTCGGTATGGTCCGTTCTCTCTGCGACTATACACTGTTTCCGCATGTGAAAATGAAGCTAAGAGGAAAACGGTTTTCTGGTGATGAGGACCTTCTGAGGGCTAAGGGCAACGAGTGTGCCGCACTCCCGGGTGAACCTTGGCAGAGCTGTTTAAGGACTTGTTTTGGCGGATGGAGTAGTGTATTGAATTTTGTGGAAATTACTTTGAACGAACTCAATAAATAAAGCTGTATTGCAAAGCTTTAATAGTATCCTTTGTATAGCCCGTCGATTTTTCATTAGAACATTTGTGATTTTGGTTTCTAGCCCCATCTGCTTGTCTCCAATCTATGGTGACCTTAAGCTTCAATATGCACGAAACTATTTTCACTATGTAGCTCCAGCTTTAGTACTAATGCAACGATTTATTTCAGTGTATGAGGATATAAGCAGTTCAGAGGACTTTGCTGATCTAGTAGGTGGAATTTCATTCATTCTGATGTATTGCAAGACCATGTTCAACCGGAAGAATTTCAATAAAGTAGTCAGGGACGTAACTGATACTACGAGATTCGGGAAGCCGATTGCTTTTGATTCAAATATGAAACATTGCGAAATGATGTCTGTATTCTTCTTCTGCTTTACATGTGTAAGTTACTTAACCCTTTGTTTCTTGAAAGCTTTTACATCAAAAAATTGAGGTAAGAATTAAATAATCTCACTCTATTGGGATCCTAAGATACAAAAAAGTGAAAAACATTTATTTTTTATATATTTTTTTTTATTAGACTATGGTTTCCACATGATACCACTAGGAAACTAGTGCAAGCCAATAAAAAGCTGATAACTAAATAACATTATAAAACTTAGGTTACTTTTCATGATACAACGAAAAACAGTTTTTTTTCCGTAAGGCACAATCCAACGTTACAAGACACACATTCCCACCGGGTTCTGTGAGGATCCTTACTAGTGCTACAAAAGGCACATCGTCTGGATGTCCCGTGTTGTGGCATATGCAAACATTGGTCAAAGCGTTTTTCATAAGGCACAATTATCTTGAAATGTTTTGCGGTAACCTTACTCCGTGAAGTTTTATCACCATTGGCGCCGATTAACCCTGAAGCTACAGATAACTTGAAAAATTTCAGGTTTGAAGCCGGGCAATTCGCTTTTTGTTTAAAGAGAATGAAAGAATTCACAACACATATATCTATGAAATGCCACAAAATTCGATGCCACAATTTCTTAGATTCGCGGTCTATCTCAAACACATATTTGAGCACATCTGTTTTGTCAACGTATCCCATATGCTGGCTATATTCCTTGACCATCGTTGGGCAGGCTAAGACTTGTGAATTTCCGTCCTTTTGCTTGCGGGTAACAGTTGCTTCTTCTGAAGGGTTTTGATGATTTCCGAGAAAATGCACTATATTTCGGTCTCTCCACTTTACAAACACCAGTCCATCTTTGCTGACCCTCCAGTCAGATTGTTCTCGGATGGGCAATTCTCTGTCCGATACTAAGTCTTTTGAGATATCTTTTAGGTTAGTCCTGACAGTGCCGCATGTATAAATACATTCGGCTTGCAGTGTTTTCTGTAATGGCACAGAGTTAAAAAAGTTTTCAAAGAAAACGTGATATCCTTTTGCTACCAAGTCTCGAGTCAAATCTAAGATAACTCTTTGGCCCAAATCTGTTTCAGGTTGATTATTAGTTTTTCCAACATGTATTTGAAATTGGCAGACATATCCATTCTCATCGGATCGAACCCAGAATTTATAACCTCGTTTGATGTGCTTGAGGGGCATAAACTGATTTAGAAAACTGCGACTCTTGTCGATTCGTCAATAGATTGATGTTTTGAAGGGTCATATGAAGAGCGAAAGGTTTCAGATAAAGTCTCCAATAAAGGGCGAACTTTATACAACTTGTCATAATTTGGCGAGTCGCGACCAGGCATCACTGAATTATCTGCTAGATTCACATTTCCGAGATGCCAAGCAAACCGATCTCTAGACATTGCTGAACTTATGTAGTGATCTCGTAATTCCTCCCTACATGACCAGTAATCGACATAACTGGGCAACCTTTTGATTCCCATCGATATATTGATTGCAATGAAAATCACTTTCGCAGAAGTTGGGGTAAATCAAGAGTCTCCTCCACGTTTTTGAAGGTTTGTTTCAAAAACAATTCTATCAATTAGAGTTCTGGGAAACAAGTATAAAAAAATCTACTGGCTCCTCCAGATCGTCTGGAATTTTAGGTCCAGTTTCCTCAGTGAACTGTTTGATATTAGTAACGCAAAATGCCGTTGATTTGGTCCAGGTTGGCCGTCTTCAAATATTATTGGCATATTCGGAATCTCCAGTTAATCATCTTCATCAATACTCGGTTCATCTGACTCGCCATCCGAAGGAATGCTCTCTAATAATGCATATAAATCATCCGACGACATATTCTCCAGCTCTCTGAATGTATACACTTCTTTTCCTGAAATAAAAAAAAATACGTAATTTCCTAGTGGTTTCACGGTGAAACCGGCATTTTGTATATTCGATAAGTATAAGTTGACAACTTTAAGTAATAGGGAGCATTAATACAAATGTTTTTAACATTTTAAATGAAAGGATAAACTTACCTGCTATAGCGAAATGATCTAAAAACCACCAAAATTGCTTACACCACTAACCCAGTTCAAAACACGTTCTGTTAATGACTTAGAGCCGTTTTACACACAAGAGAATTACTCCGAAAATTATGGACATAATTATGCCGAAAATTTGCATGGAAAAAATATTGAAGATTTTCTCTACAACCTGTATGACACAAGCAAACAAAATTTCAGAGTAATTCATATGATACGCCTGCGCATTAGAGTAATGTTTTCGAATGGACATAACATCAACGGGTATGACTTCCAATATAATCGGAAAGACAACAGACGTCGTTGATTTGAATTTATTTTTGAAACCGAGATCTTGATTAACATTATAAAATTTCTGAATGCTTGGACTATCGCATCCAGCGCCTGACGCAGCAAATTTCTGTTTTTGTAATTGGGTGACTTCACCTTGTACATGTCTGGCCATTTTTGGTACTCCTCCAACAACAGTGAAACTTCTTTCCTATTCCACGACATTATGAATAAACAATAACAATACACGCGTCTTCGTATGACTCGAACAGGATCACACCCGCAAATGTTAAGTGAGGTTATGTTGTTGACGTTGACATTTGATATTGACATACACGGAGATAACCCTCTGCGCCGATTCTCGCGCATATTCTATAGAACGGGTTTTACGACAGCAAAAATTTTCGGCATAATTATGACCATAATTTTCGGAGTAATTCTCTTGTGTGTAAAACGGCTCCAATACATGAGCAACGCGAATGCAAAAGGCGTATCTCCATTACACTCTAATTAATACAAAGCTAAAGATCAAACTCGTTCGTTTTTTATCGTATAATATTTTGAATGATAAATCTCAAATTCTTATTTTTACAAAATGCGACACTCTTGGTAAGTATTGTAACATATACATATAGAAGTGTTACACCCGGAAAAAATAATTTGTTCAACTTGTTTTTTTTGGGAACATAATGACTATATTTAAAGCATGCTGCGTAAATAAGTTTGTGTCCAAAAGGGGTTAATGCCCGGAAAACCTATTCAGAAAGTATAATTTACTACCCTGCCGTAGCTTTGAGAAAAATGACAGTAACATTATGGTATGCTTAAACAAACCATATTTTCAGGCAGGTGTTGCAACCTACACGCTTCTGTCTATCTTTGAAAGTAGACACAGTGCCTGTACGAGACATCAAAATGAAACTTCGAAGAATTTGTTCTGCCTATCAGTCTATCCGATATGGTTTCCATTCAAATTGAACACTTTTTTAATTTTTGCAATACAGATCTTCAATGCATCAGAGTTATACACACCGTCGGCTCAGGTAAGAGACACGCTACAGTTAAAAGGTGGGAGGATAACTCATCCTACGCCACCGTTAACATGGTGTGTCTTTGGTTAGGTGTCACCGTGTTATTGGAATCAACATATGAAACAAATGCACTAAAATGCAACAAGCATCTTTGTTTGCTTTGATCTTTGACGAAAAAAACGGTTCGTAACAAAAGTTGTATAGCTTGTCACTACAGACGGACCGAGGCGAAACTCGATTAATGAGTAAAAAAATTTACTGCAAAAAACTTTAAAAAATAGAACGCCTCAAATTGTTTATACCTACTTCAAAAACAGACGAACATCAATGAAGTTTTGCAATAGTTTACTTCTTGAAGAATAAAACGCAATGACGCTCAGTCTGTTGGATAAAAGTATATTTTGAAAAAAAATATTTTCGTTAAATTGCATAACTCAGGTTGCAAACTATACAGGGTGTCGAAGATAAGAATACTACGCATGGAGATCTCAATACTTGTGGGAGATACGGCTTAGGTTAAATTACGAACAATTCAGTTTCTTTGGGGTGTATTTACATGCCTTGAGAAACTTGATATTTCGGAAAAACAAAAATTTGGCAACATTATTTTTACTTATTGGGACTTTATTTTAAGAAATATATGAAAACTGATGAAATTTTCCTATTGGCACTATTTGGGCACTACATGATGGTGTTTCAAAATTTTGTGACCAACGGTTCTTTTTTAAGAAACCATCATCAACTTTACTTGTTTATATGGACCGAAAAAATTGAATTTTTTATGCTAATTCAGCATTGTATCATCTTGGTTATAAGGAAAAATTCTTTTAAACTACTTCAAGAAAAAACTAGAACATGCGTTCATATTTCAAAGGCCTTGCAAGTCTAACCACATACATTCGCGAAACGCCCGTCACTCGACAATGCTACAAAAAAATGTAAACCTTCGACTTGGAACCAAAATCGGAAGTTTAAAATCAAACGAAAGTTCCGACTTTTTGGAATCGGAGTCGAACCTCCGCAACAGCCCTGATTTGAAGGTATATGAGGTGGAAAAAAAAATAAATCTCAATAGGATTCATTACCATAAATACAAGAAATTTGTAAATCGTCTAAGCAAAAGCGTTATGAATCATGACGTAAGTTTTGCATCATTCAATAGGAATCAAATTTTGAGGGTAGAATGATTTATAGTCCGCCACTGTTAACACAGTGTGTCTTTGAGTTACATGTGCGAGTGTCTCTAGCGTCAACGGAAACACTAGGTTCCAATTTGGTATACTCGTAGTTGTAGTCACCGTTTTTGGTGGTTACGTCATCAACGCCAATTGAAATAAGTAAACAGCACATCGGCTACCCTCTCCAGTACCCATGAAGTGGGTTACATGGGACCACTGTTTTCATTCTCTTCCTGAAAATACTCCAATAAATTTAGCCGGAGCTATCGGCGTTCTCCATTGATTGTATTTCCGGGCATTGTACAATTTTATATTGAAAATTGATAACAGAACAACTGCTGATGTCTAGTAAGTTGTCACTCTGACAAATATGATTGGAGGGCACTCATACATAACGACAAAGTGTTCGAGACGGAGACACCCAACTAAAAAATAAATAACAATTTAAAAAATCAAAAAGACACGCTTTTATAGATAAAAAGTATAAAATAATTACAAAGAGTTTATATTACAGTAGTAGATAACCTCAAAATCAAATTATAGTAAAATTCAAGTTATTAACAGAATAATTCAATTCATAGTAAAAAGCGTGGGGAACTTGATATATTAAACGTTACAATGAAAATGTAGTACGCTTTAACTCTGTTCTCTGTTCAACCATCTACTACTGTAATATAATATACTAAGTGACATATAAATCCGAACACCCAGTTTAAATGCCTTTATTTTAATAAAATTTTGTATAAGTACTTAATGAAGCATAATAAGTAAATGATAAAAATTTCAAAATAATTGCACTGCTTTAAAGCCCTTTGACCTTTAATAATGTGTGGATGCACCCTGCTGTGCTACGCATTCTCCAACGCGCCTAGGCATGCTTCTCATCAGGTGGTCAATGTCCTCCTGTGGTATCTCATTCCAGGCAACCACCAACTCCTCTCGAAGTGCTTCTAGAGTCTGAGGAGGACGTTGCAAATTGAGCAATCTCCTACCCATCATATCCCACACGTGCTCAATTGGGGATAAGTCGGGAGATCTTGGTAACAATGTGACATCGTTATGTTGAAAGAAGTCTACTGTGACTCTTGCAACATGTGGTCGGGCATTATCTTGTTGGAAAGTTGGATCTGCCAGGGTGTCAAGATAGGGTAAAAGATGGGGTTCTAGAGCTTCGTGGATATAACGCTGCGCGTTCATATTACCTCTGATGAAGATTAAAGGTGACCTGGAACCATAAGCTATAGCACCCCAAACCATAACTCCAACAGTGTGATGAACATGTCTTTCAACAAACAACTGTGGATTCCTCCTTTCACCACGTCGCCTTCTAACCCTGGCACGACCATCGTGCATGCCTAAACAAAATCGAGACTCGTCACTAAAGACAATACTGTTCCATTCCTGATCCCAGAGTGACCGTTGTCTGCACCACTCAAAGCGATTACGTCGGTGTTCTCGAGTTAAAGGGAGGACCCAGTGTGGCCGGTATGAAAACAAGCCAAAACTTCTCATTCGTCGGTAAGCACTTCTTATGCCAATAGGTCTTCCGTGTTCTGCAAACCATTCATTTGCAATGGACCTAGTAGTGGAGAAACGGTCCCTTAAGGCCAATAATCTTAGGCGGCGATCTTCACGGTCTGTTGTTCTACGGCGGCGTCCAGTGCCCCTTGCTCTTTGCGTACGGTCTTCTCGAAGCCATGCCTGACAACACCTAACCACAGTGTCACTTCTTTGCACTCTAACTGCAATTGCCCGAAAAGAAAGTCCAGCTTGCCGAAGTCCCACTATAAAGCCCCTATCAAACTCACTAAGTTGACGAAATCGTACAGGTCTCCGTAATCTAGGCATCGTAACCGATCGTAAAGGATGTCAAGAACCAGAATTTGCCATCGTTGATTCTTTATTGCGGCTGAAATATTCATTTTTAGAGCATTAGTGAATTAAAAAAAAAGCAGTATAAAAACCGGAATGTCCAACTGATAAGGCTGAAAATTTTTTCACTTGTTGTTTACAGTAAGATAAATACATTCAACAACTTTTATTAAAATAAAACCATTTAAACTGGGTGTTCGGATTTATATGTCACTTAGTATAACTTCTTTGTAATTAAAAATTATTTTTCACTTTTTAGTTCGACTAGCTATAGCAGCGTGTTTTTTAGTTGTCATGATATTGTATAGTTATGGGCAGGGGTATCATATAAAAAACCTATAAAACGTCAAAAAAAACCTATAAGATGTCAACTTGCGGAATAGGTAGTTTTTAGGGCGCAAATAGTCGTTCCACGTTTGCTCACTAGGATCGTTGTGAACGTCCATCTTTGGAGGAATCACTCAACTAAACTACATGCATTATTGGTTGCATATGTTTTGTGAGTGGTCCGTGTCTGTAGTTTTTATCTCTGAAAAGAAATTTGGTTGAATAGCAAGATCACACCTGGATGATTATGTGTATTGGTCTGCATGTGTATAAATTTAGTGATATTTGTTGTGTGAGAAGACCATTACTGAATATGCTGAATAAGAGGGGTTATTTATATGTTGTGATTTCTAAAGACAGGTTATGTTCAAAGTTATAAATTAGGAAAAGCTGAGGAGAATTACGGCAAATCATCACCGCGCCCGCGTTGTGTGTAATTACTGTTAGCATGTATAGTATATGTAGCTTGTACTTCGGCAGTGTGCAGTGAATATAATTATTTCTTATTTCTCTCATTTTTGGAATTCAACAAATTTATATATGTAATTTCTAGAATGGATAAGAAAAAGTGGCTGCGCAACTAATTTCTAGGCTTGAATTTCGATCAAGTGTATTTGAGACAAGACAGTAATGCCATCTCGGCAGCAGATCTTACATCGCATCAGAGCCAAACATTGATAACTAAAGCCTCATGACGTTTAGGCAACATGTACAACTAAGTGCTAATCTTGTAAAAAACCTCCATAAAGTAAAAAAAAAAAACGCTATAATGTCAAAATCGATACAACGTCACTTTTAAAGATACGTGATACCCGTGCGATGCTTGATACGTGTGCGAGGTTTCAAATTAAACAAAATTCTGGAATTGCTTGAAAATTATGCTCAAATATTCCGCTTCATACTTAGATACAGGCCAAGTTAATAAAATAAAAACAAACGTTCGCATACAGCAGTAGGTTCCATGTGTATGCATGAGGGAGATGGAGATAAATCCCTATATATATATATATATAGGGATTTATAGGGATACTGCTAGTCTTACTTTGACTCGGCAAGAACGGTGACTCCAACTATAGAGGAAAGGCGCCTAATATGAGATAGGTTCCCAATTTGAGATAGCTGAATATCTTCCATAATACGTGTTGCCATCTAACTGTAGTCATACCAGACGTTAAGCATAGACACAAACCTTATTATATATAACCTAGCTCTATATTTGATGACAAGTGAAACCGCGTGTGGAGTTTGTTTTGTGCTGTTGTCAGTAAAGGACTTTTTTTAAGTGCTCTGTGTTTCGTGTAGCTGTAATCCAGAAGGTAAACTAATGACGTTTTAATTTTACCCAGTCTACTATTTACGTATACGACAATCTTTTACGCTACATTTCTTAATTTGATTTGATTTTTTTTATTATCAAAATTCACTTTTTGTAAAATGAACGTTTGGACTCCTAATATGAGACACCTGAGGTTCGCAATATGAGGTATCTCATATTACGAACCCCATTATTTTCAGGCGCAAATTCCAGTAACTGTTCCTATTAAAGTTTTTATTTTTTTAATTAGATGCCTAAGCAAGGAATAAAACGTAAACAATGGGACACGGAAGCCATGGTTAGGGCTGTTCAAGCAGTTAAAAATAAGGAAATGGGATACCAAAAGGCCTCTCAAGTATTTCAAGTTCCATGAGACCATCTCATATTAGGGACATTTACTATCTCATATTAGGAGCCCCAAAATCGAAAATGTATAAAATGCATTTTTAACTAATCGCAAGAATATTAAAATTCTAATATATTTTTTTTATTTATCGCTAAGGAAAGTAAGTTATAAACACTTCAAAGAACTTGCTTCACTAGGTTTTCTTACAATAATCATAGGAAATATGGCTCAATTTGGTAATCAGACCAAAATGTATCTGATATTAGGCAACTTTCCTCTACTCGAGTTTTGGCTTGTTCTCGTGATCTTACGGTTGTAGGTATGTAATATGCTTTATGAAGAAGTGGTTCTACTTGTTTCACATATTAATTTTTTGACTCATGGACTAAGAAAGGTTTTCACTGAAAGAGAAGTAAAAAAGAGATCAAGAATGCTGGAACGCTGCGCTGAGTACCATTCTCATATTATTCGGTAAGTTGATTTACTGCATTACACAACCTTCTCACACTTCAGTCACAACTGAAGGTTGAGAGCATCAAGAATGTTTTATGTTTTGGGGCTTGTCGAGACCAGTCCACTACCCCACTATGGGCAATTTTGAGTTTCTTGTAATGTAAAGCTAATGTGGCCTTTGTTACTTCCAGTATAGCTTTGGAAGTGAATGAATTGCACAAAAGCATCACAGGTCACATGGTGCTTGCTTGGGCAGTCTCAATAGGTTGCATTATCAACCAGTTCATGAGCATGGTGAGTTTACCCATTTATAGATAATTTCATCTCAACGTACTAATAAGGCTTAATAAGTTCCGGCAACCCGGGCCAGCGTCGAAAGATCGTCCAAGCTCTTTGACCGTGTTCAGTTAAATCAAGCGAGCTGGTTACAGAAATAATACTAACTTCTTCTTTTTACACGTGGTTGAGAAAAAATGTTTCTTATATAATTCCAGCAGTAATTGGCTGTTATACTATAGTCAACGCCAAACAAAGTGGCGTGCACGTCATCAAGGTGGGTGTGTTGAAAAATTTACATTGTTGCCAAACTTTTTGTAAAATAATAAAATTTATTATTTACATATCTAGGTTTATAAGCAATATTAACCTCAAATGAGAACAAAAATAATAGTATAATAAAATTATAGATCTGTACTTGCATAATCATTAAGTATGACAATTATTGATCAGATGACACTATGAAACTACCATATTTAATTGATAGCTTAAAGGTACTGAATAAAAATCCAAATGGGGTCCTCCAAATTTTATGCATGGTATTTATTTTACAGAATTCATACAGAAAAATGCATTCTAAAATTAGGTAAGCTACTGGTGTAAGCTTTTTCTGTACAATAAAGTTAGTCGGAGTTTCTTTCTTCAGCGCTGTCTGAATCTGAATCTTCATCACTCTCAAAGTTGATTATTAAAGGTTCGATGTCTGGTCGATCAAAAATTCGTTCTCTTTCATACCATTTAAACATTTCTTGCTCAGTATGTCGAACACTATTTTTCCACATGTCTGGGGTAACCGTTTGTAGAGCCTCGTTCCACATATCCAAACAGTCTTTTTCACTGTTACCATCTCTACCAATATGTCTGTTATAGTACCCTTTTGCTATGCCCCAAATTAACTCAATAGGGTTAAATATACAATGGTAAGGAGGCAGACGAAGAACTTTGTGCCCATGTTGTTCCGCCAATTCATCAATCACGTATATTTTAGGTGGTTTGTTTCTAAAAAAGCAGTTATTTTAAGAATAGGAATAAACAAAAGAAATATAAACTGTCGACCAAAATATATATAATTAAGAAGCATTATGTACCGAGCAACAATACTCAATAGCTCTGTTTTAAACATTGTGTTTAAAAATGGTATGTTTTGATTTGTCAACCAGTCTTGGATATTTTTTTTTGTCCATGCATTGTTGGGCTGTGATAAGGGGCGTTATCCAGTATAATCATAGATGGACTCTCCAATTTTTCTAATAACTGATGTTGAAACCATTTCAAAAAATTGTCCTGGTTCATCTCTCCATGGTAATCGCTCAATTTTGTTTTCGAAGAAAATATCGCTTCACTACCCTCAATAAACCCATTTTCATTTCCAGCATGTAATATAATGTATCTAAAATATATTAGTTTTAAATTTTATAGTGCAAATTGTGTAAAAGTACATACCTTTTACCATCTGTTTTAATAGCTTTCACGCTTTTTTGGTTTCCATTTTGCCAAGAGCGACCTATGGTCCCATTTTGAAATATCCAAGTTTCATCGAGGAAGACAAACTGGTATAAGGCCTCAACCTTGGCTTGATTGTATTGCCTTAGAAATTCCACCCTTTTCAAAGCTATACTTGGTAGTTCCATGAGCCCTCGTCGCGGATTGTCCTTAAGCCACTTAAATCCAAGATCTCTAAGCAACCGCCTTAAAGACGTGGCACTACCATCAAATAATGCCCTATCTCTTAATCGAGACCATAAAGTTTGTATCGTAACTTGTTCTTCTGAAACCATGTGTAATATGACATTATAATTTAGTTAACAAATTAATGCAAATTTCTGATAAGTTATTATAATAAGATCTTACTTTTGTGATACATATTATATATCACTTCTCGAATGGCACTTGTATCCAATGTCGCTGTGTTGGTTACACGTTTAATATAACTCCGCTTTTTCTTGGGCGATTCTAAATTTGCATCACTTTTCACACCCTCGGAAATACGACTAACTGTCCTTAAACTAATTTTTAAAGCAGCAGCAACACGCTACAAAAAATGAAATAAAATTTCACTATTATTAATATACATTACATATAATTATTAGTAACCTACCTCTTGAACAGCATTTAAAGGCAACAAAGGCCCGTTGTTGTCCCTTTCTTGCTCAAAGTAGTGCATTAACGAGGCCACGAGTTCCTTACACCGACTATTTAACTGTTTGGGCATCTTTATATACCAAAATTGCCTTTATCTACTCGTAAAATGAATAATTTTGTTTTGAAACAAACAGTTGTTGATTTACAGTATGCGGGGCCAAAGGATTTATAAAGATTTGAAATGCCACAAATTGATTCAGTGTCAAAATTAATACAAATGTCAGTTCCCAGTTTAAATAAGTTTCAAGGTGACAATGTGTCAACGCTGCGAAATCGGTTTAGTGCGTTTACATGTCGATAAGTGATTGGAGCGTTTGCAAAACATTTTATTTCGCATAATGCGTCTAAATTTATTAGAAAGCAACTTATGTGATATTTTAATAACAATGTTTATATGACTATTAACCATAATAAGAGAGTAATGACCATTTTACAATTTATATATCACATTAATATGAAACTGCAATAGAGCAATTGTTTGTGATAGAAACCTAGGCATTAGGTCGGGGAATTTTTATTGTGATGACGTGCACGCCACTTTGTTTGGCGTTGACTATATATTACATTGTAGGTCAGGCATGTTGTCAGCTAGTTGACAAGTAGTAGGTTAGGTGTTGTCAATTCGTTGTCAGTTTCATGTCTAGGTTTTTGATATGTTTCGAGAAGTTTTTAGAGTTCTTAAGTTTTCTAGAAGATAATCTTCTCATGTTACCAGGCCATAAAAAAAGAGTATGGAGTTGTAAGTGAAGGCCTCCGCTACCAACTGCACCATGTACACCATTGATTTTTGTGCATTTTTTATTATATTCTTTGGACTAAGTAAAAATAAATACAGTTTTTTTGTGTCGTGAATTTGCTCCGTATCTTGATTAGTATTTGAGAAAAAAAATCTGCTTAATTGCATATCCCTGGACCGCGCAGGGAATATGAGGAAGAGTTTTTATTGGAAACTATTATTTTTTCATATTTTTCCATTATCATGTAACAACAACAAATATTTAAAAACATTGTCATCTAGGCTAACAGATTTCACTAAACTAAGTGTAGGAAATGGCGCGCTTCGGCTGCAATACAATTGTCTAGATGCCTCATCGTTGAATAATGCACTCTCCTGAAAATACCTAGCGTATTTTTTATTATGTCACATGAATTAATGATTCTACTCCGTAAATCCTCTTCACTTTCAATAGGATTTTTATATACCAACGCTTTAATGTGTCTCCAGAGAAAACAACCTAAGGGATGCATATCGGGCGAGCAAGGGGGCCATATGTGTGGGCCTGCTCTCTACACTAAAGTGTGGTGTTTTGGAATTTTTCCATTACTGGAACTTCTTCTAAAAGTCAAGGTAAAAGTATATGTTCGAAATACCTCCGGTATTCTGCTCCATTAAGTCTAGGTGGAAAAAAATGAGGCCCAATGAGATGGCGACCGACATTTCCAACCCAGATACTAAAATGAAGCAATTCTAGAAAATTATGTTCTATTAAGGCTTGTGGATTGTTTTCGGCCCAAATGTGATTGTTCTGGAAGTAAATAATTGAATTGCGAGAAAAACAAGCTTCATCTGTAAACAATATTCGACTTAGAAAATCTGGATTCCTTATCACTTTACTGCGTAACCAATCAGTGAAAAGTAGTTTTAAGGGCAAATCTCTGACCAACAGAGTTTATACACAATGCATATGATATGGATTTAGCTGCTGGTCTCCTAAAATATGCCACACTGTACCATGGGTAATATTCACTGCTTCGGGTATTTTCCGAGTTCCGGTATGAGGATTTGCTTCAATTTAATTTAAAACAGCTTCTTCAGTTTGAACTGGTCGTACCGTTGCAGGTCTCCCGATGACAATCGTATATTTTTCAAGCTGCTTGTATGGAGATGTATAAAGGTTCTTCTCATAGGCACTACAAAATCTTTCATAATAAATGCGTCTTGCAGCATTAGAGTTCCCATGAGCTATTTTGTAATAGAAATGCATATCTGCCATTTGACTGTTAGTAAATTGAATCATTTTGGAGCAAAAATAACTACTAGAAACGGTTTTTATAAAAATTATAAATTAATAGCTTATAAGTACCAACCTGACGCCTATCAAGTTGTTTACTAAATGCTGCATAATTAGTAATGAAAAATTATAAAAGAAATAATAATTTCCAAAAGAAATTCCCCCATATTCCTTCTGTGGTCCAGGGATATGCAGTTAAGTCGACTTTTTTCTTCTCTAAAACTAAGCAAGATACGAAGAAAATTCAGGAGACAAAAAAGCTCTATTTCTATTTGCTTAACAAAAGGAACATAATAAAAATTGCACAAAAGTCAGTGACGTATACTTCGAAGTTGAGTCATTTATTTTAACAGTGAGTAGATCTGATCAAAAGCAATGTTTTTTTCCTTTAACATTTTTCTGGTAAAATTAAAGTAAAAAAGTTATAGCCCTTTAGAAGTTTGAGTACCGCCCTCTCTCTCAATAATAATATTATGTGCTCGTGTTTGGCGACAACGGATATAATTCGCCTTATCCGTTCATCGCATCGGAAACAAAAAAGCGAAAGAATTTGAAACGATGTTTTTACTACAATTTTATTCAGTTGTTTACAGTCAATGTGTCAGTCGGTAACGCGTGAGTGAATAGTGGTGTTTGTTTCGTGGCTCAAACGAAATAAAAAATGCACATGTTTACGAAAATGCTGAACTTGTGGACATGATTCTTATTTACGGGGGGGAGTCTTTATGCGGATCGGTTTCCCAATCGAGTGCAAAACCCCTCGTGCCTTTGTTAATGTAGTAGAAAGGGCTCGTGAATCAGGTGACTTAAGACCTCACAGGGGGAGCATGCTCACTGAAATACTTGTCGGGAGGATACTTTATAAAACAAGGTAACATTTTTTTTTATTTTGACACACATATTTTGGTTTATCTTCCTTCTACAATCATTATCTGGAAATTAATGACTCAACTTCAAAGTCACCCGGTATTTTCTTGTCATAAATATATAGACTCCAGTGGAATTAGCTTCTTAATTTTATAAATACCACCGCCAAATTACAACAAAATTAGGTAAAGGATATTCAAAAAATTTAGGAAAAACCATTTTTTTATTATTTTTATCTTGAGAACGATGAATTTGCGGACCTTTTGTCTTAAAGTTACTCAAATAATCGTCTGTAAACGGTGGTACATGCTAAATTAACACCTATAAATTTGATCAAAAGAATGTTCACTTCCGTTCACAGTTTAGACAAAATCTGCTTCTTTTATCAGCTGTCTAGATTGGAAAATGCATGTTTTCAACGTGGCTAAGCTCAGGAAATCAGATTCAAATTCATATTTTTCTTCAGTTACCATGCTGTCATGTTCAAAACATGTTAATGATGTCGAACATGCTGGTACTGGTGACTGACTAGATAGTGATTATTTGTTGTCCGATATTAATCACATAATAATTATTATCGTGTTGATTACGTGGTTTCAGATTTCAGCTTTGATCTTAAAAACAAATGTTTTTTCCACTGGACCCTTGCCGCAATTAGACCACAAACTTTGGAGTACAGTATTTGGCACCCATGTATTTCATGGACTTGCAAATTTTCACTGAAAAAATATTTAGTAAAGTGTGGATTTTTTTGTAAAAGCATATTCGCCAGATATAGGGCAAAAACTGTCTTAATGGTTTAAACAACGTTTTTCCTTCATAGTAATTTTTTACTTTTACTTAAACTTGGATTATTTGAAATGCCGCTTAAAACTATTGCCATTTTTGAAAAGTGCTCATCACAATACCTGCTGTTAGCATTCTGAGAAAATGAAATAGATATTTCTTGGGCGGTGTAATCACTCGCCCCTATACACCGTTTCAGAGACAGACTGTCAAGCCTGACATCAGTGGCACTTTTTGTGACTAATTTCTATCGATTCAGATGAAGTCTCGCAAAACATTGTTGCCTACACTGCATTTTTTATTCCTGATAAAAGCCGAGCACGAGTCGTGACATATTCATCAAATCATTCCACACTGATTGCTTTGAGATGGATTAACGCAGAGTATAACTCACCTGTATGTCATTTCAGTACAAGCCTGCAGGAGCAATTCTATACCTATCAGGATACATGATGAGCTTATCCTGTTTTGTTGTTTCTGGTCAACTACTACAATCGCAGGTGACTAATATTTCGTTTGTTTGTTTGTTGAAGATTTATTCAGCATTAATCCTACAATGTCAATTTTGTATAATTATTCGCTTACATATTTTTCTTCAATCCATTTTCTGTAATTTTGCATTCTTGTCTATTAAAACTACATCACTATGCAGTTTGAGTATTCATAAAGTGATTTTTTAATTTCACCTTAAACATCTTTAAATTCGAACACTGTTTAATATCATTGTTTAATTTATTAAATTTAAATCTCCCTTTTGAAATAGAAATTTACTAGTTATGCTACTATTACAATTTTTCAGATGAAAATCTATACTGCCTCTAGTTTCGTAGTTATGGTAATGACTATTTAATTTTGTGAAGTTTTCTAAATAAGTGATTTTTCAATTTGAATATGGAAACGAAAAGTAAACAACATATGAAATTTTTCATATTCAACCACGGTAGTTCTTCTAACATAGAGTTAATCGTAGCATATTTGTTTTTATCTAAAATGATTCTCATAGCTTGAATAAGTGTTCAAGTAATACAAAATATGTACGAGTATAGTGTACAGAATCATTGTGGCATTAAAAGTTACACCAAAATGAGCTAATGAATCGTTTTTTTGCTGTATGAATCCATTTCTCTTAATACAGAACTGTTTTCAACAATCACTTGAAAATACTGCAATATTTGTAGAGTGAGTCCATTGCTGACGAGCTGTATTGTATACCTTGGTATCTCGGGACAATTGAAGAGCAGAAAACTGTGATGTTCATGATTATGAGGGCACAAATACCACTAACGTTATCTGCAAAGCCATTCGGAAATTACGAATACACTTTATATGTAACAGTAAGTAGATACAAATACTTTTAGGAATCTTCCGTTTCCTCTGAAAATATTGGCCTTTGCGTCCAAAAAATTCGGCTTAGATGACCAAGTTGATCCTTTCCATGAAATTATAAGTTTCATTTTCTATAAAGTACTAGGCACAAGACAAAATATGTACTATAACCAGTGGAAAATTTTAATGAAAATTCGTATAGTAATAGTTAATGATCAAATGTTCCAATATGCGCAAAGTCCAGAAATGCTTTCTGTTGGAGATACAGGGTGTTAAAATTTGGTTTCTTGTAGAATTAACGATATCATAAAGATCACGTGAACACATGCAGTATGTACAGAATGTCCTAACAAAAATTAAAAGTATCTAATAGAAAAACTCTAAAAGACATTCGAACAGGATCTACGTAGTAAAATTCACATCTTATAGGTGCGTATTTCCAAATTATTTTTATATATACAGAGTGCTGTACAATTCGGTGCCACAACAAACATATTTTTTTAATGGAACACCTTATATTTCCTTATGCATGTTAAGATAAGTAGCCTAATAATGCAGTATCTGATATCAGAAGACGCCTATAAAAACGTGAATCTGATGGTGTAATAATATACGGGATGTCCCATTTGAAATTTTTGAGAAAAACGACGAATTCAGTAAACACCTGGGCAAAATGTATGAAGTCAAAGCCTACAAGGATGAGCACTTATTCAGATAAATCATAAAATAGCTAAACAAATAATCAAAATCTTACAGTATATCATATCAACCTGCCTGCTTTCGGAAGGCCTCTCCAAATATCTAATATAATATAGGGTGCTCCGTTGAAAAAAAATGTTTGAGGTGACGCGGAGTTGGACAACACCCTGTATATTTTCAAATAGTTTAGGGCTACACCTATTTTGTTGCGAGAACTGTTTTCGAATATCTTTTACATCCTTTCTATTAAACAACTTGCCATTTCTTCTTTCTGAATACATTAAACACGAGATTTTTTTCGTAAAATGGTGCAGTCAGTCAAACCCCGTAGTGGCTAAGGCACCATAGCTTGACACCCTGTTTCTCCGATGGAAATTATTTCTGGGCGGTGGTCAAATTCCATATGTTTTGTGCCTGATCCTGCAAGAAAGTATTCTTGAAGGCTCATTTGAAAAATCTGGTACTGGTACTTATTGTTTCTTCATTTTTAAATTAACAGAAGTAAGTCGCATGTTTCGTGAGTAGTCAAACACTTCTCGTTTCAGGTTGTGAAGACCGCTTACTCTTACGCAACGTTACTGCAAAACACAATATGAGCATTTATTTTTTCATACAAGCATTGCACCTGTTACTGAAGATTTAGGAATAAAATTTCAGTCGCGCAGTGTGGTCCTTGTAATAATTACTGCAAAAAAATCATGTTCCTTGGGTATCTTATGAAGTCTGCAATACGAAAATTAATGCCCATTCCAGGCGGCCTGTTGATCTGTATGTCAATTGTTCTGTGGGTCTGTGATTGTAGGATCATCTTTAGTGTTTCACGCCGATCGCTCCTGGTATATACGTTCAGCATGCTTGCAACTACTTTCCACAAACTCACTTATCAAATTAGTATAACTTGGTTGAGCAAATTATCGTAATAAGGGCCGCCCAGTCATGTAGCATGTATGTAGCTTTCAAAAAATATACTGTTGTGAAGAAGCTTTGTTTAATGTAACATCCGGAACTTATACTGAGTGACATAAATAGGTAAACACGTACGTATGTTTATCCGGTCTTAACAATTTTTGGTATATACGTATGTTCAATGTCCATTATTAGTAAAATGATTAAATTTTCAGCTTGATTCGTCACCTGACTGCAGACGCTGGTTCAATAATGTGTTGAGGATCCACGATTTCTTATGCACTCATTGACACACCTGGACATCGTGCTGATGAGGTCGTCGATATCCAGTTGCTTACCTGCCTTGTAATCTTTTGTATGACTTTCGTTAAACGGAAAACATAAGGCAATTTTAGTATATTCTAAAATACTGCCTTACTGTTGATTTGGTAATTGTTTGCTACAAATTTGAGAGACTGCTCAATCACTAAAATAAATGCGGGGGCAGGCTCTGGCGATTGAAGATTGCAGAGCAGGGCGGCTGTTACATTTTACAAAAAGTATCAAATGCTGTAATATGTAGCGAGAAACATGGGAGGTAGAGTCCGAGAGCCCATTTAAGTTAGGTGGCGGCGACGTAAATAAGAAGTGAATAAGGCCTTCTTGATTCAATTTCCACATTGATGCATTTATCCGAGAAATCATCCTGTTTATTCATAAAATATTACCATACCTTTGAGTAGCACAATGCTTCTTTCAAATGTCAATAGGTGCTGATAGTGATCTACGTACTTTTCTATTACAAATGTTGAAGGTGGAACCACCAGCGGGTGCGCATATGCCGTCCGTCGGCCGCGCGGCACGTCACAGTCAAAAGTTATACTTTCTGACTATTTGGGACAGTGTTATCAGGTCTACCAATTTTTCGGTAGATCTAGCGAACTACCGATTTTAATGCGAAAAAAGTCCTTCTAAAGTGTTGAATAGTAAATTTATAATTTAACGAAGCACTGGAGATGTATGTGTTGATTTAGTGTATCTACAAGTTTTTCTTGTCCGAACTTCAGCCTGTGTAATGCTGTGTTATATCAAATCTAAATTGGTCAATATAAATATTTGAAAACGCAAGAATTATAGCTCTTCTATTACATGGTAATCTTACCCAAATTATAGCGTTTTGTTTTATAGTATACAAGTACTTACCCGATTAATTATTTATGGCCTGTTAACTCCAATATAATGTGCTCAGATTCAAACATCCTCCAGGACCGGACTAATAAACTGATGTTACTGAAAATATTTTTCCTTTAATGTACCATTGTATAAGTTAATTAGGTGTCTATAGAGTATTTGACTCTAACTATCAATTATATAACTGGCTGTTTAAGAAGTAGAAGAAACCTCCACAAACCACCACCACCCAGTAGGGGTAATAAAATTGTCCTTTTAAGGTTTGGGGTGATGAATTGATGCAAGAATTATAAACATATTAAACAGGTGGAAATGTAAAAATAGCGGCTGTCTGCCATGTATATCTGAATGTGCATAGAAATATGAAAGGTTCGGTGCAAAAAAGTTTACAGCTTAAATAATTTTCCCTATTCGGAAAGCTTACGGATGATTTTTTAAGAGATATAAGATCTGATTTTCAAAAAAAAAACACAAAAAATTTAAAGAAACGATTAAATCTTTATTTGAGTCGACAGAACCGTCGATATAATTTAATGTTTAAAGATTATTTCATGTAAATGTTGGCCGCGGCTCCGGCTTAGATAGCCCATGCGCAAGGTCCAATTTTGGCACACCCTCTCCAACATATCGGCCGGTCAATGCGTCAATCGTTGCTGATTTATCCCTGTAGACATTAGCCTTAACATGGCCCCATAAGAAATAGTCCAACGGCGTTAAATCATACGATCTAGGCGGCCAATTGACGGGCCCCGAACGTGAGATAAACTGTTCACCTAACTCGTCTCTCAATAGGGCCATTGTTTCGTGTGCGGTGTGGCATGTGGCAAGGTCTTGTTGAAAGCAGCCAAGTCCAGCTCTTTCATTTTGTGCAAAAAAAAAGTTTGTTATCATCGCACGGTAGCGCTCGCCATTCACAGTTACGTTCCGGCCATTGTCGTCTTTGAAGATGATGCCACCGGCCCATAATCCACACCAGTGTTTTTTTCGGGAAGCATTGGTAGCTCTTGCAATGATTCTGGCTGGTCCTCACTCGAGATGCGGCAATTTTGCTTGTTAACGTACCCACTCAACCAGAAATGAGCTTCGTCGCTGAACACAATTTTTCGATAAAAATGTGGATCTTCTTCCAACTTTGCCAGCGCTCATTCACCAAATGGGAAACGTTGTGGGAGGTAGTGTAGCGTCAATTCTTGCAGCAGCTGTATCTTGTAAGGTTTTGCACCCAAATCCTGTCGCAGAATTTTCCACGTAGTGGAGTAACAGAGGCCCAATTGCTGCGAACGGCGGCGAATCGACATTTCACGGTCATCACTAACGCTGGCGGATACAGCCGCAATATTTTCTTCAGTCCTCACTCTACGTCTGTGTGTTGGTGGTTTAATGTCCAATAATGTAAACTGGGTTCGAAATTTAGTCACAAGCTTCCGAATAGCTCCCTCAGTAGGCCGACCAAATTGCCCATAAATTGGAAGCAGTGCTCCATGCACTCTCTTAACCGAGCATGAATTTGGTAGTAAAATTCAATAATTTGCAAGCGTTGTTCGTTCGTAAGTAGATTCATGGTTAAATTATAGACCAAACTGAACAAGTTTGACAATGACACAAGACACGATTCACGCGACATCTGTCAAAAACGGTGTTGCCAAAAAGATACTAGCAAAAAAATCACCCATTACTTACAAGAGAAGAATATTAACGTTAAATATTACAGCCTTTCTGATAATTGATTGTTGGCTTATACACTATTCGATGACAAAAACGTTCAACTCTGGCAGCCTTCTAGTCCACCATTTTTCAAAATGATATATTATATCATTGACCCTCGTTCTTCAGCACCCATATTTTTGTTTATTTTGCTATGAAAATGGACAGGACCTACAGTGGTATCATTTTTTTGGCCAAAAAAATACTTTCTTTGCGAAATGTATTGTGCATTTTGTCTTAAATCGTAATTTGTTCACAAATATTTGCTTTGCAATTGTATGGAAACATATGTAGTTGCCGAATTCACAAGTTCTGTGTTCGAATCATCAGATAGTACTCTTAATACTGAAGCTACGTAGCTCTACTGCATTTGTATTCGGAACCAATTTGATGGCGGACTTCACATATTTCCAACAACAAACTAACACAGTTTTGAATTCTCTCGGCTGGTGCCCTTATGGCCGAATTGAGCGGGTGATTAGTATTATTGTTAACACCTTTTATCTAAATAAAAGCTTTGATTTTTTAAAGCCTCCTTTTGCAGCAAATTGATTGTTCAAGGAAGTTTAGGATTTTTTGATGAGAAAGTCATAAGGAATAGGTAATCACCCGCTCAACTCTCCCATATAACTGGAATATTCACATACATTTTAGAGGTGTACTATTATTTGTTAAAAAGTCACGAATGAAGAGAAAATGCACCTTGTGGCAATAAATAAGGAGACAGGCGACGCTAAAGTTTGGGAGACAGCACTGGTCACCACATCTTCCTGCTGTCTTCACTCACAATGCAGAAACAAGATATTTAGACAGTCAGAAAGTTCACGACATGGTTAACATATACAATGAAAAATAATAGTACTTTTGAATTCGAAACTTTCGAAAAACATTTATAGTAGGTTTAGAGCTACTTTAATTTTCCTTGTTTTCTGTTATAAATTTTGTTTGCCGGGGTCCTTTATTAATGACCCACCCGGTACAAGCCGACAGACTATTATTATCAACACCGGTAACCGTGGGACATACTACAACAATATCTGCCCACAACCAACAGGGTATCATATAACTCCTTTTTCTTTCTACGATCTAATCTTCCAAACCCAATACGTGGGCTCAGGTAACTCCCCATATAGCTGCTTCTTGGGCTCTTCTACCATTTTTCGAACATTTTTCAAATTGTCGAAGCCATGCTACAGCTACTGTGATGCGACATAAAACTGCTGCTGCACTGAATCACTCGAAGTTACCGGACTGACACATTGCTACGTGCACAAATAAAAGAAATTAATAAAATTTGAATAGCATCTGATAGTTATTTCTATTCAATTGTATTGTCCTACTTAACGGATCATTGTATACCGAAAAAAGGTACCTGGAATGAAGTTGGATCTTATTCCGCTTTTATCAGTCTCACATGCATACAGAAGATATTATATAGAACCAGTGTACTAATTGAGGACTCATTTAGTGTAGATGTCAGTTGCACATTTGGGAAGTAAGTTGTTTTGCATTCCGTCCCTGCCGTCCACCGGGAACCTACTATTTGCTATTATTAAATATTCTGTTTCAGACATTGACTGTACACATATCCGTTCTCAGGTCTTCCACCACTATTGTCGTTTGGTCATGTATGAGGTGCGAAAAGGTTACCCGTTTTACGTTCCATTCAAAATTCTCAAGTATTTTTGGTTTTTTGATCTGGATATTAAAAAGAGGGACCATATAGCTTTTATATGTAAAGCCATTTTGCTGCTAATACTGCTTCTCTTTGAAGTGATGCCGCCTGCACTTCATTTCGCCAACATTACAAGAGGTAAGTAGCGTAACAGAAATAATTCTTAAAACCTCAAGAAAAGGCCTAAGTAGATTGATTCTATACTTCCAACGCCTCCATTACGGCTACTGTTTTCCATGTTGGGTAAATTCGTCCTAAATCAAAGTGAAAACCAAGACCACTATACCTCAAATTATAGGAAATGCATCTATCACATTTTTGCATACTATTTTGTTAAATAGGTTTATAGCACTATCAGGGACCGAGATCAGAAGCTTCTTGATTGCACTCCACTGATGCGGAAGGTGCAACATTTACAATAACCCAATTTCTATAATCCCCAACTCGATTTTCAGCCCTCGAAAAAAATACTAAAATTATCACAAAGGCCTATAGGTTAAGGTATATACTCAAATCAGTGTATGCGGA